AGGTTATTTTTTTTCTTCTTCTGTTTTGCTGTTGGTGGAGACAAGAATTTCAATTGCATTAATGTTTGTTTACATGCATTTTATTTCTTTATTTTTTTAAAATAAAACTTAAACTAGATCCTCAAACTTCATTATGAAAACATTATAAAGTCTTACTTCCTTTGTTACAAAAATGCATTTATCTCTTAAAGACTGGCTCTTAGAATAACTTCATGCCCTTCTTGGTCTGAAAACAAGACTCTAACAGACAGTTAAGACAGACATAAAGGGGTTGTGTAACTTGGGACGTATCCATGCTGTCAGCAAGGCTGTACTGGAAGATGGGACACATCTCATTCTTCAGAGGAGGAACAATTCCTCTTCATCAATAGGAAGAAATCTCCAGACTGCTCCACCACAGGTTGCTCCTTCAGTTTTAATCAAGCCAGGCCCAGTGAAAAACAAAACTAAAGGATTTTAGGATTTCCCACTAATTTAATCACTTTTGCAATACCTTAATTAAACTATTATCTTGGAATTAGATCTAAATATTTAGCAATTCTTTCAGTTGATTTATTGCCTATCAGGGTCTGATGAAACTGAGGTCTAATTATGAACAAATCATGCTTTGTTTGGAAGGAAATGTGACGAAATGAAGGATGAATTGATACTGTTGCACAGCACCTTAGGTTACACAGTGAATCCCTGTAGCCTTTTTCTGGATAACCACCTTAGACCTCCAAATACGTGATCGCTGATAAATCTTTCAACACAATCTCCTCTGACACTGACAGCAAATGGGTCATTAAAGAAGGGGGGAAATCTGAAAAATAAAGGGTAGATGTGAGTGCTTGGTCCTCTTCTTCGGAGCTGCTGGCAGCACCTCGTTGGATTTCAGAGTGAGGTTTCCATGGAGCCTGAACAAAGACATCTGGACTGAGGAATGTGGTTCGGGAACGCTCTGGCGGACACGCTCGAGAGAGTGAAAGCGCGGGGCTCCTGATAAGACCTGGGACTGTGTGTGAGCTGCTTGGTATAAACTTCTTCCCAGAACTTCACTTGTTTCCATGGCATTAGGGATCATCAAACATCTCTCCAAATGAGGGGAATTACACGTCCCTTTATTTTTATCAGGCCTGTTTAAGACTCTGTCTTTTGTTTCTGGTCTTAACGGCTTTTTAAAGATTTTATTTATGTATTTTTATTATTTGTAAATTCCCAGACCATAGTCATAGTTAATGTCATCTTAAGCTAAATAAATAAAAAAATTTTTTATTGTAATTACCACGAGCTCTACTCTCAGAGAGTTTGGATGATTATTTCACCTCCAGAAAAAAACTGTTATAAGAAATGGAAGACAAAAATAAGCCTGTATCTTATCATGATTATATTTCCTTCCTCTGTAATGGACTTCCAGGCTGGGAATACAATACCTTGGAATACATATCCTTAAGTTAAGTTCCTCAACAGTCTTTAATGCAAAAAACACCACAGGAAAAAAAATATTTTTTCAGTTTCTTGTTATTAAGATCTGCAGATATAAAATCAAAAACTATGGCGAATGGCATCGTCTCATGATTTCACTGTGATTCGTGGCTTTAGGGAGAAATTAGGAGTTAGAACTGTGCATGTGGGGCAGCGCTCGTGGATAATGAATAACTTGAAGGGGGGGGAAGGGTGTGTTTGGAGCAGCTGCAGCGTCAGTACAGCTTAGACTAGTCATAATTACTCTCCTTAGAGTCTATTCAAACTATCTTTTTTGCCTTTTACACTTTCATATTTGCTTTGCAACACTGAGGAAAAGCTGAAGTCGTCTGTATTTGTTTTTTTGTTTTTTTTTCTTATGAATCTGGTGCTTTTTTTTTTTTTTTGTGAAGTTCCAGCTCTCACTCACAACTGATTCCTTAATCAAATGTGTTTCTATGCTACTTTTACTAACAGTTATTTCCATACCTTGAATCAATGAATCCCACAGACCTAGATAGAACAACTTTTATCCATCTGAATCAGGAGAAAGATAACAGGAAAGTCTTGCAATGGCAACAATATTGGGAAATATTGAGGTGATAATCTCAGATGTGATATCAGCCCATTTTCATGTTTCCTCTCTGTCCCCTTTGTGCTTCCATCACTCTTTGACCCTGAGAAATGTCCTTAGTCTCCAATGTGAGTATCTGTTGCCCAACTGGATACATATTACAATAGCATGTTAACCTCAAGCATGATGCGTCTCAAAATATCAAGCTTGTTTAATATGGTACGCCTGAAATATGACAACAGGACATCTGGTATGGAAGAGTCACAAGGAGAAAGCAGCCCTGCATTGATAAGTGGTTAGATGATGGATGTAAATAATAATAAAAAAAAGTGCCACACAAACAAACTTTCAAGTGGTTAACTAGAAAATCCTTGCAGTCCCCGGCACGAAAGACTTCAGTTCCACATTTCTCTGTTTCTCTGCAAACAGCAGCAAGAAGAACTAGGGTCAGAGTGCTGGAGCTCACCATAATAATAATCCGTCATATTTCTGTTTGTGTAAAAGGCCTCAGGAGAAATATCTGTTGGAGTGTCCTATTTTCTGGTGGAAGAGCTTAGCCTCTACCCAGCCCCAAAAAATGGAAGAAAACAATCCGATGATATTGTAAAATACAGAGTATACAGTAAAAATGCAGTTTCTGTGTATTGTTTACCTTTCTTTGAAAGCTGTATCTGATTGTAGAATGGCAGACGGTGCCATAAATACCTCAGCAGGCTATATTTCAACACAATGTTTGGTCTTGCACTGTAATTTCTGCAGCGTTGAGCAACATGTTGACCTTTTCGGGTTTCTGACCACAGCGTCATGAGAATGCAATCTGAACTTGGTTACAGTGATGTTTGCTTAGAGGACGCTTTGATTTCACTTTTGACCCAAAGATGCTGCATCTCTCATGCTGCCCCATCTCTGATTGACACGCGGCGTAATTACGAAGGCATCTTGGAGGTTTTAGTGACTCCAGAAACATTCAGCTCATCCAAACGACTCCATGGGGAAGACAATCCAATAAAAGACTTGAACTCTCACTGTTGGCCATTTTAAAACAACAACGTTCGAATTATGTATTATGCTTTGTCATCTGACGGGTCATTTACTGAAATCATGGGGCTTTTAACAGCCAGCATTTAGCTATAATGACAGTTATTTTCAAAACTGTAGTTTCTGACAACACAGGAACATTAAAGAAAACTGAACATGTAATTGTTAGTTTTTTTGTTTATTTGTTTTCAAAAATGGAGAAACTTTATAGATTTTGACTAAAATTTGACTGCATGGTGTGGTTAAATTTAGCTCAGTCAAATCGCTTGTTGGCTCATCCTAGTACAGCCTTTAAATGAAAATTTTCTCAAAACTGTTGTTAGAAAAACTATAAAAAACATTTGTATAACTTCCAAAGATAAAATCTATGCAGCAAAAAAAAAAAAACGTTATGTTTTTATTTACTTTTTGGCCTGGAGAAATGTTCTCCAAGAGATGGGATGGGCAGGCTTGATGCTGATTGGGCTGAAGTTGGGGGGTAGGTGGGCTGTTTCTACTCTCCTCATGGTTCTGGTTCTTCCTGTTGAAAGAAAGTTGTTTCTTTCCAGTGTTATCACATACTTTTCTAGGATATGCAATTACTGGGAACCCAGTGACTTGATGCACCCCAAGATAATATACCAGTTTTGCATCCAGACGGGCGACAGTGGCGTCGGATGGAGGAGTTTGCCCTGCAACTGGAGGGTTACCTTTCAGTCTCAATGGTGGTCAGAAGGCCCGGTGGCGCCAGTGTACGGCAGCCAAGATTCTTTCAGTGAGCCCCAAGGCAGCTTGGTCTACAATGTAGACTTTTTAATGACTTAAAAAAGCGCTATATAAGTACAGGCCATATATCATCCAAAACTTGGGGTTTGATTAGACTGCACCTGTGTAAATGATTGGATTGAATATTGTTTTCTGGATCGCACTCGTACTACTCGGACAGTGCTGTAAGGTGGCCTTTATTGTAATTAACTTTTTTTTTTTTTTTTGTATAAAAATAAACTGAACTAGATTTTATTTGGACTTTGTCGATTTAAGATGGTGTTATCCCTTTTTTTTCCCTTTTAACCCCTTTCAAATCTTCAAAACCTTCTAGAGACACGCAGCAATTCTGTGGTTTTTGTTTACTTGCTCTGACACTTTTTATTAAATCTACTAAAAGTAAACATAAATTGAAATGCCTCTTTTAAGTTTTTTTTTTTTAGATCTGTTACACTCTACTTCTTTTTGGCCGTTTTCCTGAAGCGTGTTTTACGTTTTTGCTTAGAGATGGTTAGCAGCTGTAAGCATGTAGAGCACAGCAAACTAAACATGCTATGCTGCCCTTTGTTATCTTCTGCTTTGGCTTTAAATGTTTGACCAAAGCTGTTCAGATAATGTGGAACAGACACAGTTGAAGGTTTGTTTTCTTGCTTTCAAGTTATCAGATGACAGAAAATCACATTTTTCTTTTTTCCAGTCAGTATGTCACATTTTCCACATGAGGATCCAGCAAAGCAGCAGCAGTTTGCAGGAAGTCGTGGACCTGCTGATCAGACCAGTAGTTGTTTTTAGAAGCAAACAAACCAGTGAAGTGGTTTGTTTTCCTACAGATTGAGCACTTCCCATTTATCAGGATGGCTTAAAGGTGGCTCACAGGATTTTATATTCTACAGGGGTCCACACAAGTCAATGTCTTTCACTAATGTGACAGAATGTTGGGAATCTGCACTTTTAAAATCTGCTTTCAAATCAATAAAATTTATCAGATGTGTTTAGAAGCTGTGGGTCTCAGCTTGGTATGAAAAACGGAGTCATGATCTGATTTCCAGCCCCAGTTTGATCCAAAGTGAACTCAACATGTTGAAAACAACTTGAAAGCAAAAGGGTTTTTTTTTTTTTTACTTCAAAATGAGAACCGTTTGTCCTCTCTTTACACTTAAAATATTTCCTCAAATGTTTTTGTTCTCTTTCTTTCCTGCAGGGAGGAAGTTCATGAGAACTGTGTCCGCTGGAGGAAGAGGTTCACCTTTGTGTCAAAAATGAGCGCCAACCCCCACACCGGAGTCCTGGATCCATCCGTCTGCAGGGTGTCCGTCAGGAAGGTACGACTCCTGAAGCGTGATCTCTCACAGGCTGCCTTTCTTTTTCTCTCTAAAGCAGGTGTCATTACTCACCGGCTGTTTTTCCCCATCTGTTTGAAAAAGGATTTAGGATTTATAAGCAGCTAGTCAAAGCATGCAGGCCACATGCATATATATGTGTGTGTATTTACATAAAATATGACTGGTGTTTGAATACTATCTGTGAACTACAGAAATTAATTCCCATGCAGTTTCGAAAAGTTATGAGTTTGGATTGTTTTCCAGAAATGCTTGATATTTTTATTTTTCCCTATAACTCATGTCCCTCCCTTTTTTAGGATTCGTATTCTTTTCTTATTTACTTGATCAATTACTGATTAACTGACCTAATCTTCAGCTTGCCTTCTTATTGTAACCTTCTTTTCCCTAGCGTTCCTTAGCATTCTCCTCCTCATTTAGTTCCTGTCTGCAAATATTGGGAGTTTTTGTCCTACGTTTGGTGTGAAATATCAAAATATTGTCTTCCAGTTTAGAAGAAACACGTCTGGAGCTATTTTCTTTGCAGATACTTAAGTGCAGATGCTAAATCTTTCAACCTGTTCATTAAACTCCACAGCAGGTTGTGTATGTGTGTGTGTGTGTGTGTGTGTGTGTGTGTGTGGTCTCAGCTTTTCTTTTGATTTGAGGTCTGTAATTGGAGGCCACCTTAATCAAAAGTGAATCACTGGGTTCATTATAGTCTTTCCTGTTCTCCCTGCAGGAACTGAAAGGAGGAAAAGCGTACACGAAGGTAAGAGCTTATGTCTGCCTCTTGCTTCTATAAACACATAGAAACAGTTACAGATGACTGTGTGTCAGTTTCTGTAAGCCGTAATGCCCTGTCCTGTAAATATTAGCATTTCTGGCTTCGCTTTGACAAGTAAATCCTCCATCTGGGTGCAAACATGAATCATAACCCAACCCCTTTGTGCCCACTTGTGCCTGGATGCTGGAGGGGGAAACATCCTGGCAGCACCTCTCCGACCGTATCGGCTCTTAACGGATGAGTCATATTTCTTCAGCGCAGCCAAGTCAAACCCCTCGTGAACCCAAACCCACTGTTTTCTTTATAACCGGACAATGTTGCATGACAGGAACTGCTTCCTCTGTTTTTACCTATTCTCCTTTTAGATTTCCTCGAGTTAAATTTACTCCACTTCCCTCCTTAGAGGTTGGCTTCCTTAAACATGCACCTATGAAAACAGAAGCTCCCCTACAGAAAGGAAAACCTGGGGAATGAAGAATGGGAACGTTCCACTTGATTAGGAATAACATCACGTACAGCTTGTATAATGGGCCGATTCCACCTGGTAGAAGGGTTAAAGTTGAGTAGAGGGGGGGTGTTTGAGGGTCTTATCTGAGTTATTTGTGGCAGCGCTGGAATTTAGAAACTCCTGACCTACACTTCAGAGGTCAGAAGTTTTAAACTTTGCACCAAGCGTCTCATTCTTAGATCGTTAATCAGGCTGTATATATAGAAAGAGCATTATTACCAATGTAATGTACAGGGTTATATGAGGAACAAAACAAATTGGTCAACATAGTTTTACATTTACAGTAAAGCTAATGGAATAATATTAAATGAAAAGATAAAAATAATAGTTCAAAGAAGATTCTTCTGTTCAATAGGAATTAAAGGCAGTCTTTATTTTAATTTCAAGTATTGGCCATCCTTGGAGAGAGTGGAAAGTCCTTACAATGTTTGGTAGCAGCAACAGACAGAGCTCTTAAATATCAATAAGCTCCGGGTTACCGGACCTCAGAGTTCTGCTGGGAACAGAGCTGAGAGGTAGGAGGTGCCTGACTGTAAAATCTGATAAATGATCAGAAAACGTGCAGGCAACTGGTAAAGGGAGGAAAATCTGGGAGTTTTGTTTTTGCGTCTGTTACTGACTGGCTGCAGCGTTTTGGAACAGCTGCGGATGATGAGGAGGCGGGTTGTTCATCCCAGAGCGACAGAGATGTAGTTCAGTACATCAACAGACTAGTTATTACTTCTGAACTCTTTGCAGGTCGGTCAAGCTTATCCAGGTCAGCCTCTCTCCACGATTTTTGCTTTATTCACTAGTACACAGTCATGCTGGAAGGGGAAGGGTTTATTTAATAGCTGGTAGCATAGAAACCTTCATCTGGTCTGCCTAAGCATTCAGAGTTCCAGAGAACGTCGACACCACAGCACCCAATTCTTTTATTTAGCTCTGTGATGTACCTGCTTAGCCATGTAAATCTAGCATGTGTAGTCACAAGTCGTACATATGCTTTCTAAATGTTCAACTTGTTCCTCAAAGGCTTTAAGCCCTGAAGTGGGCTAAGAGTTTGCAGCTTGGGAGCACTCTCCAACCTTATTTCTGACTTTAATAAGAACATGAATCCATTTTAAGTAAAGAAATCTGATCGAAATTAATTATTTTTCCAGTTAGATTCGAGACTCAAGTCATTTTCCTGATATATTTTCCTAACGAGTCTAGTCATCAAATCTTTTACTCAAGTTTGACAAGAATCAAGTCCAAGTCCACACCTGCTATGAGGTAGATGAGGCTTGATTTGATATGCAGATCCGATGTTAGAGGCTGGACAATCGTGAATTAAAACAACCAAAACAATCATGGACAGAATATGGAGCAGGTTTGGTTGGGTGGAGCTTGGACCATAGTTTACTGCTCTAGAGTGACCAGAAGTGTTATCATATAGAGTATATAGTAATGGCTCATCAGATCCAGTCATTCTGGAAATTAAAGAAGCTCCAGATTTAAGAAAGAAAAACAAAAATAATGTTAAAAATAAACCGGTGCTATATCTACAAAGACTGCCGTGTGGTTTTTGCTCCCTGTCATAAACTAAAACTTGAAACGTTGCTGTTAAAGTGAGATTACTCAGCTTGCTAAACACTGGGTGTCACAGGATTCTTAGTTTTTCTCAGCATGTGCCTGAAATAGATGCAGCTCAAAGCCTCCATTAGTGAATCTGCAATTAACTAAGTTCAAACTCCTCTTCTCTCCCCTCAGCTGGGCTTCACAGACCTCAACATGGCCGAGTTTGCCGGTTCTGGCTCTACGGTTCGCTGCTGTCTGCTGGAAGGATATGACACCAAGAACACACGGCAGGACAACTCCATACTGAAGGCAAGGAGACGACTGAGGCTGTATAAAACATTATAAATGACAGAAGAGTTCAGGCTGGGTTTCTGGTTAAACTTTAGAATAGGCTCAAATGTTAATGTGTTTTTTTTAGATATCTGACAAAAATGTTTGAGTTTGAATCAATGCAAATAAATATTTAAAAGTGGTGGTGTATGCATTACCTCTTATTATCCTCCTTTAGCTGCAAGTAGGGACGAATATCTCTGGAAATTTCTCCACCCGCCTCTTTTTGCAAGACGTTTTTAGTCCATCGTTTTTTTGCTAAACAAACAGCGGTTAGTTAAGACTCAGCCTGTTGGTTTTAGTGTAAGGAAGGTTACTGAAAAAAAGCAACGGGTCTTGTTTACAAAAATGTAGTTATTAGTTCCGTCACTGTACTATTAGAATAACTACTTTTTCAAAAAAGAATTCATAATTTAATAATTTCCTTATCATAACTTTAAATATAACATTTATTTAAATTATAGAATATAAAATACTAAATATTGGTTCATTAATGAAATGGACTAATGCACTTATCTTCACCATTTTCCTTTTAGGGACAATTATACATATATATCAAGATATATGTGTAGAGTTTATAATCTAAGAATAAAAAAATATATATTTTAGAACTTGATATTTATGCGCAATAATAAGCTACATCTGTCTATGAAATATGTATAATACTATAAAGCAACACAACAAAAAATAAATGCACATTGTAGTGGCATTAGACAGGGAACTCCACTCCAAACAGCAGTGAAGTAGACTGTACTTCCAGTATTTCTGTTTATCAAAATAAACAGTAGCAGTACACCATGCAAGTTCATTAACTTACAGTAAATTACAGTAAAGAAGTAAAGTGCAATGTGTTTGAAACCATCGGTCGTGGAAGGGTGAGATGATCAGTCATGGAACAAGAGTTTGTTTCTGACATGATGTGCAAATTCAGGAACATTTTGTCTTTGACATGAGATACATCTACAAGCTATTTATTCTATATTGTTGTAATAATTGTTGAACCAGTGCAATGGGCCTGCTTCTCCACTTCTGCCACACCTCAGTGGGTCTAATGGGCGATTCCTGCAGGCTCTACCAGTTTAGCTTTATTCTTTCTGTCACTGGAATAACATCTACAAATTTAAAACCGCACTATTTTGACTTTTGTTCTTCTAAGAAAAATTTTATTTCAGTGGAGAGTATAAACCTTGCATAATCGAATCTCATCAAATATGTTAACACGTTAAAAACAGACTCGATGAGGTCAGGAGAAATCTATCGGAATGGGAAAAGTGATATTTCTTCATCTGAGCTGTTGTGTTTAAAGAGACTTTTCTGTTTCACGTCTTACAGGTGATCATCGGAATGACTCTTCTTTCTGGAGATCCCTGTTTCAAAACGTAAGCTCAACATTAATTCAGTTTTTTTCTTTTTTTTTTCTCCCTGTGTCTGTGACTCGTTAAAATGCTTTGTTTGAATGATGAAACCATGCTACTTGTGTTAAAGAAGATACTTATACATTCTTTTGGAGAGTCCAGAAGGATCCACAGCAGCTTCATCTAGAGGTGAAGGCATGAAGGTGATCTGGCCTGTACTTTTGTCACGCCCGAAATTAACATACAGACCAGCCCACTGGTTCACTGGACCAAGAGCATGAATAGAGGAAGATGTAGGACACAAGTTTAGCTGTTTAGCCTATAGTTGGGTTTATTTCTACAAGAATTACAAAGCAGGCAGTTTCTCTATTGAAAATGAGTCAGAACCACGGTCAGTAATGCAGTGTTCCAGGCTGCACAGAGTAAGGGGAAATCTTTCACAGTCTTCCTGACTCGACAGGCAGGGATTATTTTTGTGTATCAGAAGATCCCTGCAAAGTTTGATGCTCAGCTGTTCATTTGCTCTAAGCATTTTACCCAAGACTAAACTTATTTTTCCTGAACTGAGGGGCTGTTCTGACCGTAAGGCCACCACAACCAAAAGCTGTTAGTATTAGTTTGTCGCTAAGCTGTTGATAGCAATACTAGCATATCTATGGTGACCAGATTTGAGTTCTTGAAAAGGAGGACACATTTTTTTATTTATTTTTTTTGTGGTGGTATGAGGTGTTGACTGCTGGGCCGCTGACTGGACGGGACCTCAGCAGAGAGCCATGAGCCACCCCTCCTCAACCGATGTTACACACCCTATTCATAGACCTTAAGGACCAACACCACATACCCTATAGAATCATTCTGTGAGCCCTTTGAAGGAGCAGAAACTGTTCCTGGTTGAAGCTCTGGTCCTTTTTACTCGGTTTAGGCGGTATCAATGCTCATCTTTTCACAAAAAAATACATCCAGTCTTTCTGATATTTCTTCTGTAGGGTTTGATTTTTCAGGTTCTTGTGTGAGAAGATTAAAACCTTGAAACATTTTCTTTGTAAACTTAAAGTATTTGTTGAAACAATGACTCATTTTTTCCTTCAGTCGGTGAAGACAGTCTTATCGTGTGGGGCACCGCTAAGCACTGCAGCACTTTCTGCTCCCTTTAATCTCTTCCAGACTGATAAAACCGTTTTGCATCATTTATTTTGTTTTGCTTTTTTATTTCCCCCATTGCTGCAGCCCTCCAAGTACAGCAAAGTCCATCTCTGTCCCAGGACGGGAACACACCCTGCAGCTGGACTGTAAGGGGGAGGGAACAGCTGAGGGAAGCGGGCCAGCCGGAGGCGTCTCTCTGGGCCGGGCCTCCAAGCCTCGGCCCTCCATCATCAGTTCGGGTGGGTTTCACACTTCAGAGTGTCACGTTTCTCTAAATACTATAAACTTATGCTGCTGTACTCTGCTCCGAGATCAAGTTAGGTTTCAGATCAAGCTCCCAGTTTGTGAAATGCTCGGTTTAGGCAGAGTTTGGGCCTTTGGTGTTTGACCAGGAAGGTTAGGCTATGCAGGAGAAAAGGCCTTTTAACATCCTCTGTGTTTTCTGTTAGCATTATTTTCAGCTCTCTAAACTTTACCAATTTATTTTGACTTTTTTTTAAATTAATTTAACCTTAAAATAAGTCTAAACCAGAGGTTTTGCTAAGTACTTGGATCCAACTTTTAGCTTAGGTTTCTTGGGTTTAATGTAGTTTTGATTTTAATAAAGCTTCTTTTTGATTAGGATTCATAAAAATGTTCTGTGCTTTTAAACCAGACTCAATTTCAGGTGGACAAACATTTTTGTGGGTTAATTAGGTGGGCCAGGTCTATAAAAAGACCTTTTAGAGTGAACATGAATTTGGATGCAATCATCAAACTTACAAACTTTCCCCAAAGGATTTTAAATCTGAAAACGCTGCAAAAATTTCACGAAACCTTATAAAATTAGTCTATTCTCAATGGATTTAAAAACAAAAACTTTTTAGTTTTGAAAAGGAAAAAAAAGGAAACAGTTTCAGTTTAAAACCGTAGAATTGCTCGATATTTTATTGTGAACTTGGTGGAGTCGACGATGGGTCAGTTAGAACCGAACAGAGACATTTTACTCTGGATCCCTGAATTACAGCTCATCTAGTTCTGCTTCCTTCTGCCGCTAACATAAACGAAAAGATTGGCTGGAGGCTAATCTGTGTGAAATGTTTTGACTCATTCTTCCCGCCTACGAGGAGCTGACTGATCTGTTTTCTTTCTCTGCTGTCTTCAGGTCTCCTTGACGACTCTGAGATGTATCAGAACCAGTCTGGTCCGGCAGAGGCTTTCCAGTCCGGCCATTCGCGGAACTCCAGCTACGCCAGCCAGCAGAGCAAAATCTCAGGTAGGAAATTCACCAGCAGGTCTGATGGTCAATTCTTAAATTCTGAGAAGTCGCTCAGAATTTATTGGAACTTCGTTTAAATATTTAGATATCAGGGGTTCCTGTGCAGCTGGAAAAAAGATGGAAATGTATAGAAAGTGTGGTTATTTTTAAACGGCGCTCTACATTTGGATTTCTCTAATCTTTCTCCACAAACATCAGGCTAAATAAAAGTCATCATCAGAGGCCAAACATGCTGTTTTTACGTTTTCTTGTTTTGATTTCCTCTTTTGTCCCTCAGGCTACAGCACAGAGCACTCCTGCTCCTCCAGCCTGTCGGACCTCACGCATCGCAGGAATACCTCCACAGGAAGCAGCGCATCTGGAGGACTGTGCTTCTCCACTGACACGCCACCAGAGAGCGACAAGGACGCCGGACGTCCAGAGAGACCTCCACGACCCCCTCGACCTGTGCTGCCCCCAAACCGACCCCTCAGGTACAGATAGAGGGAAAATACTTCCATCCAACCTGGAGTTACAGATTTCTGTTGCTACTTTCACCAATCGTTTTCCCGTGTTTCAGGAGGAAGCAGGACTCGGTGGAGAGTCACCCCACCTGGGTAAACGACACCCGTATTGATGCCGACGACATTGTGGAGAAAATTGTCCAGAGCCAAAACTTTGCAGATGTCAACAACACTGAAGGTAGAGTGAGAGTGGCCTCCCAGCGGTCTCTGCAGGGGAAGCTTCGTGTTGGTGTGTTTGAGGAGGTGCAGCCACTGATTGCAGCACAGCTTAGTTTTTGCACTGGAACCGCTGAAGGGTTGGAGTTTGTACCAAATGTCACAACTATGATGAAACTCCAACTTTGGACCCCAGAGCTCAAACAAAAGACCTCCTGATGCAGCTTGAGCCGACCTGGTCCGGCTCGTTTGTTCACCTCCTTAACGGTGGAAACTCTCGAAGCTGAGCTGGAATGTGCACCTGGTCACTGGAGTGATCATTAGACCCTCAGGAATAACAAGCAACATTTTTATCTCTGTAAAAAGCCTTAAGATCAGTTGGACTTTAACCTTTCAAAAGATTTTTCTTCCTTTTTCAAATGATTTCAGATAGAGTATAGACTCTGCGAGCACGCAGCTTAAATATGGGTCAATTGGATCAGAAGCGTACTTGTGACGTCACCACATGCTAGGCTAGTCTAGAGCTGCATTACACCTCCTGTTATTAATTGTCTTTTGATAATTATATATTCTTACTTTTATCTTTTAGTGGTGGAATAATGATGGACACAAATCAAATTAAAATTTTGCCAAATAAACCAAAACACTCGCCATCAGAGCCAGCGGTCCTTCACGCCGAGAGAGGGCTGCCGCAGACGGGCTATGTTTAGACCAGGCCGCCGTTACCCTCGGAGGTCCACTGGTTGCTGCAGTCCTTTCAACTTCGGATTTAAAAAAAATATATATATATTTTTTATGCATCAAATCAGTAAATGGGCCATATAGTGACGTTTAAAAGTATAATGTTCTCGCCTCAAATGATCTTAAAACTTACTTTTATTGAACAACAGCATCAGAAAAGAGAATTTTTAACTTAATATTCTGAGCTCTGTGAGGGCTAACCTGGAAGCTGCTGCTGCCGCCGCAGTGCATGCTGAGACAGCTGTCAATCTCAAGAACGGACAAGTCTGCTCTGATGCATACTCGGTAAATAGGGAGGGGCAGGAACAACATCCGGGGACTTTTTCCGTTCACTGTTCTTGTGAATTGGAACAGTACTAGGGCCGAGGCTGAGGAAATTTCATGAGCACGGGAGAACGCACAAGTACACATATTGAGAAACAGCCTCTCTGTTTGACTACATTCTGGACTTTGACTAGGCCATTTTAACACAGGGGTATTCTGTGCAGCATTCTGTCCCAGCTCTGGGTGCATGTCCACAGTGTGTCCCTGCTGGAAGGGGCATCCCCACCCAGATACTTGCAGCGGTTTGCTGTGTTTATTGTAGCCAGATATAACAGCATCCATCAGAAAATGAAAGCACCAGCAGATTATTCAGCTGAATATTGCGGTAGTTGTAGCTCTGTTGACATTCTCTGCTGTGTTTCTGCTTTTCAGACAGTAACCTGCGACTGTTTGTCAGCAGAGATGGAACCACAGCGCTCAGCGCCATCCGGCTGGGAAACAGGTGAGACCGTCTGTGGACCCTCCTCTCTGCATCCATCCTGATTCATCTTCTTGCTTTTAAACTGTTGGTCAGAAAGCAGAAGTTGATCCAGTGGAGAATAAAACCTTATTTGAAATTGTTCTGCTGTCTAATCTCTGGAGGTGTATGCCTTATGACCAGTACCTTTCTTTAACTACTTCTGCAACATGAATAATTTCCTTTCAGTTCATGACTTCTGGCTCTTTATTTCCTGACAATTTGAAATCAGTTCCAGCTATTATATAATTATCATGTACCCGATGTTTGAGCTTACTGCAGTTAATCTCTGAAGCTTTAATTCTCCGTGAGCTGGAAACAAGTTTTCTCCAAAGTCTGGATAAGAACTCTGATGGACTGAAAAAAAAAAATCACAGACCTGGAATAGGTGATGTTAGAAACATAATGTGTAGAATCATTTGATGGTAATTTTAGGTTTTATATTTTTAGCAAGAAATCTGAACAGAAATCAAAGAGGAGGAACCTAGGACCTACAGAGGATCCGGGAGCAGATCCTGGTCCTGCTAAAAGGTTAAAGACCTCCAACCTCTGTAGGGTCCAGCTATTGCCCCATGTTACCAACACACCCTGATCTAATGACAACTACTGAGACACAGGAAAAAGATAAATACGAGCAGAAAAGAACGGCTTCTGGCCTCCGCCTGAAAAACTATTCCTGTTTTTATTTCTGCTCGTCTTTGTTCCCCCTGTAGGACCTGCAGCTAATTTGATTTACACCAAAACGTCTGACTGACGACTCCTCTGCTACTTAACTGACCAGGTCACCATTTATTACAGCACTTTACCAGTCTTTATATTATCGTACTTCATTTTGTTAAGGTTTGAATGCGTTTCCTGAATTTTAGATGAGCTTCATCCATCCGTCTGTCTGGATATAACATTTAAATTTTTTCCTTTTTGGATTTGAAATCCCAGTTTCTGTTTCCTGTAATGAATTGCTCCTCTTTTCATCAGCCTCCTGATGAGCAAGCAGAACTTGAAGAGTTTGACCGGATGCGTCACCCTTTCTTTTTTTGTCTCTTTTCAGGGTTTCTGCCGGCGGCTATGAGCCGGTGGTGATAGAGAGCCATTAGACCAGCCGCCTGCTCACCTTCTGCCTCTGGTTTTACTGGAGCTTCAGCTGGTCTGACGCCATGAGAGGGAAAAACCACGTCTGTTTGCACTTTATGTCCAGTTCGTTTGCAGTGTCTGTCTGCACTGTCATAGCTGCCTCCTTGTGATGTTGAAGGGAAGATGCTCCCTGCTTTGTGTGAATGAAGAAGTTCAGAAGTGTCTAATGCATCATTTTGTGTCCAGCTTTTTGACAGAAAGCTGGACAGCTGGAAAGGTGAAAGCTGTTCTGAAAGAAAATAAAAAGGTTAAAAAAAAGGTCAGGAGAGGAAGATTTAATTAGATGTTCTACATTTTGACATTTATATTAGATAAAACATCCTCTCACCATATCAGCTCATTTTGATTACACGTTTCTCACTGTGTGCAGCTTTTTCTTTTCTTTTTTTGTTTTGTTTTGTCGTGTGTGACCCATTCATGATGGACGTCAGAGCTCTGACTGCCTCTTCTTTCAGTGAGTCTGACTGTTCAGCTTCTGCACCATTTCCTACTCTTCTGGCACTTTCTGCACACTTTGTTTTGTAAACCTTATTGCCTTTTCTGCAACCTTAAAGATATCACTCTTATTTTCCTAATTTGAATCATTTCCATTCGAGCTGAAATGATCAGAGACTCCCTGTGGATGACATGTCTGTTAATCTGTCTGAATAGAAGCAATAGATCTAAAGGAAACCTTCAGATAATAGATAACAGGCTTGATTTATCTGTTAAAATGTCAAATTCACTATAAGCTTTTAATTTTTATTCCACTCTCTGATCTGAATCTGTACCTTTTTTCTTGTCAGGATTTTTTTTTTTTTTTCATAAAGAAGCAGAATTTTCAGTTTGTCTAAAAGTCTGACTTTGCTGCCCAGATGGATCATTGTTTGTGACGTTTCTCTGAAATCTGTGCTGCATGTAAATGGGTGCAGAATCTGTAATCCTGCTGGTTAGGGATCCAAACACAAAACAGGAATCGACAACAATAGAAAGATTTGAAGAGTTTAAACTCCTTGATCAAACACTAAAAGTAAGAGAGGTTTAATGATGAACATTTATATTTTCCTCCCTGTTGATCGGGGCAATCTGTGCCTTTAAGTTTCTCTCTAATGAGCCGAAAGCACCATGAAAACTGTGGTTGGAGTGCTTGTGTCGGTGAGGAGAGATGTTAGTTTAGCTCCGTTTTTCCCACTCGCTGCGTGTTTGAACACTAAGCTGCTGCCTTGTTGCTTCAGTTCCATGAAGGATTAATCGGAACAAATCAGTTCTGCTCGGCTTAAAACGCACGATGACCATCAGTTCAACTGAACAAACTGTTCGGCTCTTTATTGGAACCAGCTGCAGAAAACTTCACATCTGGAAGAGGGTCTGTTGAGCTCTTTGTTGCCCCCTGGTGGAGCGACATTGTTCCTGTGATGTTTACTGGAGCTGGACTGCTAATAATGAACAGACTGGACTGAAACAGGAACAAAAATACCACATCAGACTCCAAATTGAAAGGAAGTGATCTTTTTCAGAACCAGCTGGCTGGTTTTGTTTTTTTGCTTTTCCTGCTAGATTTCCAAGCATGTTTTTAGTTAATCTTTTATCTGCTGAACTTGGGAGCAAAGAATCGCCTTATTTAGTTTGGAGTTAGTTTGAATTAAAATCCACTTTTGCTGATAGTGGACAGAGCAATAAAGGATCTTTTGGTGAAGCGTCGTTTCAAACACCCATCAGCCAAATTCTTGGTTCAGAGAATATTTGTTAAAAATGCCTGAAATGCTTTTAACCACTAAAGTCCTCCACCCTTTAGGTCTAGTTTCTAAAGGGGAGATTTATCTACAATTCCTTATTTGGAATATTTAATTTTTTTCTAACTGCAGGATAAAAACACTGCTTTGGTGTTAGAATAAAGATTTTTATCTGAAAACAGTTTTATTGCGTTAACGTCAGAAACGACGTCACAGGAAAAACTGTATTTGAACCGTTTTTGTTTCCTGAATGATCCAGTTTTTCATTCTCTTCATCGTGGCTCATTTTAAGCCGTTTAGTCTCTCCCGCATCGTGTTGCGGCTCTATGTCCTTTTTCTCATGTTTGGGGTGAACCACTGACAGTTTAGTCCCAATTTGGGTTTACATCATCACCTCATTTTTAATTTCTTTTAAATCTTTATTTAAATCTTTTAGTTTCTCTTATGGAGGTGGTTATAAGCTATGCACACACCTCACCTCCCTCAGCTTATTTTTTTTTTCTTTTCAGTGATTCTAAGAAGGATTTTATTATAACTAAGATAGTTTGAGCTATATTCTATATAGAAAACAAAGTTGGAGATAAACTTCCAGTCTCCACTTTTGTGTTTTTTCTTTTTTTTCTTTCTCTTTAGTAAACATTTGTGCAGAAATGACTTATGAACAATAAAAATGTTAATCAATGTTTGTCTAATTAGTTTTTTTCCCTTTGGGGGTGGGTGGGGGATCTGAGTGATTTGTACTGAGCTGTAATATCTGAAGGGGATATAAATATTAATTTTGTGATTTAATTCGGCATCAGACGAAGGTGACAATGATTAAGACGATTAAATGAATAAGTTTGGCAGCAAAATAATTATGACATGAGGACTGTTTCTAAAGAGTTGAACCATTTGGAAAAAGATGTAATCTATACCGATAAAGCTGCAGTAAAACAAAATTGGTTTTGTTCTTTGGAGATAGTTTGCGTGTGTTAAATTAAGCAATAGAAATGAGTGCTTCTAGGAAGCCACCAACAGAGGGCGCTGGAAGCAAGGTAATGTATTCCACTAGTTGCATGCATTCTTTCAACATTAGTGCTGATTTCATGTTCTTTATAACTCTTTAGTAGCGGAATACAGATATGAAAGCTGGACTAATATCCAACTTTTATTAGATAATAAAGTTGCAGGATTTTTTTAATTTTTTTCACAATTTTAGAACAAACCTTGCGTTGTATTTCATTACAGATGTGTAAAGACTTATGGTTTCAGACAGAATATCAACTGAAAATTTAGTGGAATAAGTTCTATCCACTAGAAAGCTCTGTTTGTGTCCATTTTAAGAACAGAATTAAAACACAGGTTTATTCCTTTATTGTTCCAAGTGAAATATTTCAGATCATCTAGAAAAAAGATTTATCAAACAAAGATTGTCCTATAAAATAAACAAAATGTTTTGAATTTGTCATTTTATTTGAAGGCTTTTTGCTGCTAAGTTTATTTTGATTAGCTATATTCTCTAAATAAGTGAAAACCTAAGTATAACCAGTCTAATAATGTGAAGAATGGCAAACTGGTGTTTCTGTCTAAAGACACTAGAGAATGTTAAACCCCCCAAAAACTCTTAAGGCTAAAACATACTTTGCAAGAGATTAACTTTTCTTCTGATTCGTCCCAAAACGGTAGATTTTCTCTAATTCAAAGCAGAACCTTTATTGTTGCTGGATGACTAAAGCTCTACAGGCCTCAGATGCAGCAGTTCATGTTTCAAAAATAAAATGAAGTGGTTATACAAAAAAAGAAGAATATGGGAGATTTCCAAGATCAGAACCTCTGCTGACTTGAAACAAAGGCCTGCCTCAGTTTTACCAAGAAACTCCTGGAGGAACGGTCTGAACTGATGAGACAAAAGTGGGGCTTTTTAGATGTTTTATTACATCTGATGTCGAATGGTCTATAAAGCAACACCAATGTTAAAACACAATGGTGGCACAGTCCTATTGCTTCAGGTTGGCCATAATTTGTGGAAGCATGAATTTTCCGATCTGTCTGCTCATCAAGTTGGGATTCAAAGCTGAAGCCCATTTTGGCTACCTATACCTTACAGCCAGGTGAGTCGCCGTATCACAGGCCAGGCTTAAACCAGACAGGAGTTGTACTGCACTGACATGATCTACAACAAGCAGAACATGCTCATAAACTCTCCTAATGTGGCTGGATCAAAACTATTCTGCAAAGACTGATTCGGTCAAAGAATGTCTCTACAGCGTTGTTAGAAACACAATGCCAATGAAAAACATCAAGCCTGACCTTTCATGTTTATTCAGGTTTTCTTCTAATATTCTATTAAAATTATTTAAGATATGAAATGAAAATGCATAGATCTATGAGGGGCAGATACCTTTACAGCATTATCAGTAATAGAGTCCAACCCTGAGTGTGGTCCTCTTAGTGTTTTAAAATTCCAGACATAAACTTCTGTGCTGCAAAACCTGATCTAAAAATAAGTCAAACTTAGAATAAGTGTATTTGTCCTTCATTTGAGCAGGTAAATTAGATGATCCGCTAACGGGATGACCATTTTACCTTTATAACAAGATCATTGAGGATCTTTTTGGGGGGGGTTTAAACAAAAATACACTTATTTGAAGTAAAGTTGAGCTACTTGTTTTTCCTATTTTCCAGCGTAACAAGTGATTTAGATGAAGTCGGTTTTTCCGCCTCTTTGTGTGTCTTTTTGAGAAGATAAATTTTACTGTGAATGTTTTAATTGGTAGACTACCTCCCTATTATAGAAGAAGCTGCTCTAAAGTCTGTTTGTGCCACTATCTGTTGTTGCTCAATATTTTTTTCTAAGAAGGTTGACTTATGTCTGGTGAAATGGAAGACGTGTAATAGTGATGCTTTTAAGAGTTATGTTAGGAAATCCTATTCTGGATATATGGTTGTATAAACAGATGCATCTAAAATGGTGGATAGTTTGAATTTCTTTTGTCAGAATAGATTTAGGTATTGCATGAATTACAAGAGTGAGTGATAATTTCACAGTTTTAAACTAGATGGAGAAGATTGATTTACTAAATTCGGATTTTGGTTTTGCACTATATAGCACTCGAAACAAGAAATCATATTCAAGACAATATATTATTTTAAGAAATATTTGATTATTCCATTCCAGAAAAGATATCGTATTTATGTGGGTTCCATCTCATATAGAAGTAGAAGGAAAAGAACTGATAGATATGTATGCAAAGGGGGAGCTTTAAATAGTTGGATTTTTTATGTAAAATATGTTAGTCAAAAGTCAAGTGTCAAGAAAAGATTAAAAGAAAGTGGAAAAAAGAAGTGAAAGGAGGATTTTAGATTTTTAAAAGATGGAAACCAGAGGATTAACTAGTACCTTACACATAATGGGAAACGCTAAATCGTTGCTATTCTGTAGAGCATGTCATTATTAATATATGAAGTATAGAAACCAGTGATTATTTAAACCTAAACTTTT